TTGATTGTATGTGATATTATGATTGGAAACCGGTCTGAGTCCCTCAAGAGAGGTGAGAAGGCCGGTATACAATACTTTTAAATAAATAAATAAATAAAATGTAATGTTTGTTTGTGGGATTAACATAACTCAAAAACCACTAGATGAATTGACAACAAATTTGGACACAATACATCTCAGGCCAACAAGTGACCACCACTCATAAAAACACTGAAAAACACAGTGGAAGAGACTTAAAAAGTCAAAAAACAAAAAATACATTACAACGCATGCACAAAACTACATATATATGCAAACACACATATACACCAATATATACACACATATATGCACACACAAAACACAGCAACGTGTGGCAGGGGACGGCTAGTATATAATACTAATATTGTACTATGCTAATAATGTAGTATGTTGTATGTACATATGACTTGTAAGCCACTCTGAGTCCCGTTCGGGGTGAGGAGAGTGGCAATAAATGTTGTAAGTAAATAAATAATAAATAAATATTTCCTGTGTAAGTGCAGAAGTAAACCCGTTTGCCGACATGGCCCTGGTATGATTGCAATTTTTTCAATCTGGCTTTTCCTTTTTGCTGTAAAAGAGTGAATAAGATAACAACAACAACAACAACTTTATTTTTAACCTGCCCTCTTCCCCACGAAGGGACTCAGGGTGGCTTCCAAAACCAAAGATGGTAAATATTCAGTGCCATAGAAATAAAGCAAAAGTCATAAATGATTCTCTGAACTCTTTTCTTGCTTGAAACTGTATTGTCTGCAATACTATGCATTGATTAGGAAAGTCTGCCAACTAGCGATTGAAGGTGGTAGTGCAGACTTCCAAACACAGAGCACAGTTAATTTTAAATTAAAATAGACTAATATGGGGACTTCCGGTTGGTGGCGGCAAGATGGTGGACGTGTTCTGAGGTCGGGCAGATCGGGACCTTGGAACAACCAGGTTTTGTGGCGTAAGGGGGGGAGCCCCCACCCGCTGATGGTCGGAGATCACGGGGAAATACCTTGGGGTGCCATCGGCCGACGGTGTCGAAGAGACATCCCCCTCAAGGGGGTGTCCAAGACGCCCGGCAACGGGGCACACCAGGAGAGCACAATCTCGAGGTAGGAGGCCGCGGCAGCGTTAGCCTCCGAACCGCCATCGACCACCAACACAAAGATTGAAAGAACGGAACCAAGAACTTCAAACACAAATGCGACCAGTTTAACCGGGACTGTGCAACCGACAAGAATTGGAAAGAGGTGAAAACATCTACCGATCGGCAAGACAGGAAATTTTAGATAGATTACGATCCCGGAGCGCCATTCATTGTGAAATTATCAAAGGTAAGCAGTATCAAGCATCAAAGAGCAAGTGTACAAGGCGAGGGTCAGAGAGAGTGTGGAATAGAAAGGAAAAGAAGGTGCAAAATAGAGAGGGGGACAAGAGAACGGGAGAATTAAGGAGAATTAAGAAACGAGAGGGCCGAGTGTAAGGAGAAGAAGGGTACAAGAAAGAAGGGCACAAGAAGAGAAAGAAGAACGAAGGATAGTGGGATCTGTGAAAGTAAGCCACCACAGCCAGGTTGAGCAGATCGCTCCCTCCCAAAGGGACAGCAGAACCGCGAGCCCCGTGCCCGGAGGACCGTCCGTAAGGCAGGGACAACGGGCGTGCGGAGGCCGGAGGTATAGCGGGCTGTGGTGAATAGAAAGCTCAATACGATCCCAAAGAAAAGGAAAGCACAATACGGTTCCAAAAGAGAAAAAGAGAAGAAAAGAGAAAATATGGGAAAAAATTGCTAAACTGTGTATACAGACACTTGAAGATCCCGCTCCCCCACCCCCTCTACAAAATCCACAACGCTCGTTTTCTGCACTCCACATTACCCCACGCTACTCTAACCTTGAAAACGCGAAGAGTGAGGGACAGCAGAGAGGTGGAAAATCCACTCCTATTGGAGGATATCCAAACTCGTCCTTGGAAAGATCTGCCTCCACCCACGCGAAGGAACAGTAAACAAATAAGAAGCAAGCCGCAAGACCGGGCTCCAAGCAGTCGCGAGATAGTTCGGGATTTTGTCGGTGAGCATTAAGATCTCGGAGGAGTTCCCGCAAGAAGAGGCAGCCCAGGAACGAGAATAAAGTAAACCTCGCGAGAAGTGAGTGTTTGAGAATAATAAGGAAGTAGGAAGGGGGAATAGGCGCAAATCGCGACACAGCGAAGGGCGCCTTCCCCAAGGAGATATCCCCAAGGAGAAATCCAAGGAATAGGAAGGAAAATAGGACCGGAATAGTACAGGAAAGAAAAAAGTTTAAACGGCAGAGCGGTAACAGAAGGACAAGAGCGGAGGAAAGAGCACAGAAGGAAGGCGAAAAGGTGGATAAAGGTAAGGAACCCAACCATCCAAACTAACAAAAACGTTGTTAGACTGATCAAGTATCAAGGACAATAACAAGAAAAAGTGGAAAACTAGCTCATAGAAAAATAGTAGTTAAAATAAAGATGGCAGCGCTAAGCAATAAGGGGAAAACCTCACAGACAACTAAAGGCCAAGCGAGGAGAGACTCTCTCAACAAGTTAGACCCCACAGCAGAAGGACAAATGAAGAAAGACCAATCAGCTGAGGACTCCGTACTAGACAATATTTTAGCTGAAATTAAAAAGCTTTCGAATAAACACGAAGAACAACATAATGAATTGAAGACCGAAATACAGAATATGAAGAAAGAATTGAAGGAAGACATCTGCAAAATAAAAGAGGACGTGGACAAGTTGAAATTAGAAAACCAGAGAATAGCCAAAACCCAAGGAAAAATGGAAGCAAAAATTTCTAAAGTTGAAACACTCACGTTAAAACTACAACAACAAACGGAAAGATTGGAATTCAGAGAGGCAGAATTCCAACTTAGAATACGAAACCTGCAGGAACTAAAAGATGAAAATGTGAAGCAAAACTTAATTGAACTTTTTGCAGAACTACTTGAGGTGAGCACGGAAACTATTGGGCAGGATGTCGACCGAGCTTATAGGGTACCGTCCGGATACGCAAAAGTACACAAGACCCCTCGGGATGTGGTGGTGAGTTTCTGCCGTAAGAGCACGCGGGATGAAATCCTTAAAGAAAATACGAAAAAATCATTATTTTTCAAAGATCAAAAAATAACAATTATGAAGGAAATCCCCCAACAAGTCCTAGCGAAGCGAAGGAAATTCCACTTCCTCACAGAACAACTAATAAAGAGGAAAATAAGGTTTCGGTGGGAAAAAACAGAGGGGATAACGGTCACGCTGAACGGGAAAAAATATTGGCTGAATTCGGAAGAGAGCGCCCGGGCCTTTTATCAC